CCCCTTTGGCATGTTCTTGGCAAAGATACTAAAGATACAGATGAGGAAACTGAGGCAAACAGGGTAGAGTGACTTGCCCAGGGTCACACAGCTAGGAATTGTCTGAGGCTGGAAAATTAAGACTACAAACATAAAACTTTTTGTAAATCTGAAAGCACCAAATAATCAACAGTTATTATCACTAATGTTATTGTTACTAGAAGGATGGTGTTGGCTAGAGTAGAGGTTCTTAACCTGGAATTCTGGTAAACTGTATTTCAATATAATTGCTTTCCTTTGTAGTCTTACATATTTTATTTTATGCATTTTAAAAACATTATTCTAAGAAGGGGTCTCCAGGCTTGACTAGATGGGGATCCAGGGCACAATAGTCCACAGGCTATCTCTGAGTGAAGGACAACAAATGGATGGTTCAACCATTGTACTGGTACCTATGGAACATTATGATAACCAGAGAAAGATTTCTGGCCCACTGGGTAGATCCCCCCCCTTTTTTTTTTAAGTGAGGCAGTCGGGGTTAAGTGACTTGCCCAAGGTCACACAGCTAGCACATGTCAAGTGTTTGGTCTGAGGCTGTATTTGAACTCAGGTCCTCCTGAATCCAGGGCCAGTGCTCTGTCCATTGCGCCACCTAGTTGCCCCGAATAGATCTCTTTTGAAGGACTTATGGGAAGACATGGATGAGAACGACAAGAGAATGTGATAAGAAGGCATAGATGGGCAGTGATCTGTACCCCTGGGAGGAGGAAATACCCAGGCTGGTGAGATCATAGGTCTTTCAAAGTAGAGAAATATCTCTAGTGCATCCCGGGAAAGTACAGAAGGTCATGGGTAGCAAAAGAGAGGTGGGCTTTGGGAGGCAGCTGTCTCTTTTTCCTTTCTCCATAGAAGTGATTGCTACGTAAATAGCTTCTGTACTGTATCACTTCCAGGAGAGGAGAAAAGAGGGGAAGAGAGGAAATCAAATAAACTCATGCAATAGTAAAAGGATCCATGCCTTCCTTGGCATGTCTACACTAAGCCAAGAACTCAGTGGCACTATTTCTCAGTTTTGGGGATGTCAGTTAGGTGGCTCAGTGGATAGAACACTGGACTTGGGGTCAGGAAGACCCAAATTTAAAACCTGTCTTAGAAACTTACTATCTGTGTGGCCCTGGGCAAGTCACTTAACCTCGCTCAGCCTCAGTTTCCTCATTTGTAAAATGAGGGTAATAATAGCACCTACATTACAGGGTTGTTCTGAGGGCTGAATGAAATAAACACATGCACAATGCTTTGCAGACCTTAAAGGGCCATGTAATTGCTACTTATTATTAGTCCTATTTTTTAATAGAACTTTGAAGTTTACAGAGCACTTTTCTCAAAATGACCTTGTGACACATGTGATACGTTATTTTCACCCCTGTTTTTCAGAAGAGGAAACTGAATCTAAGAGATATTAAGTGATCTGCCAGTGCTCACGCAGCTACAAAACGTCAGAAATGAAACAAGAGCTCAGTCTTCTGATTTTAGATGCAGTAATCTTTTTTTTTTTTTTTTTAAATTTTGAGCCTGGGCGTACCTATCTTGCTCAGGCTGGAAATTCAGAAGCCCCTTTTGGGCCCAGTCCTAATACTTATTGTCAAGGGAGCCTTGACCTGTTCGTTTCTGACTTGGGCTAGCTCTCGCCTCCTTGGGCAGTGAGGCAGCTCCCCTACCTCCATGGGATTTACCACATTGGTGCTGGGCTTAGTGTGGATGTTGGATTGGTTCAGACCACTGTCGCTGAGAACTGAGCTTGAGCCGTCCATCAGCCCCAGCCTCTCAGGTAACAGGGAGTCCTGATTTGTGTGATTCCTCTGAAGTGGTCCTATTATTTGAATTCACCCTGTATATTTCTATTAGATTAGGATCAATTACCATATTTCACATAGTCTAGTCTATTTTGTGAATATACACATAGTGTGTATATAATCATCATTTCAAATAGTGTAAATTAACATACATGTAGCTGCTTCGGAAGATTCATTCTGTGCACTAATTTAGACTTTGCTGGACAGGCACAATAATCCTTTCAGTATACTCTGCTGCCTGGGTGCTCGGGGGTTATGCCAACAAGTGGAAATCACAGTGGGATCACACTGAGTCCAAGTTAGGATAGGGACGGGAACTAGATAGGGATTCATTCCAAGTTACTTGGATTAATATCACTTCCATTTCCCTTCTAACTCTTTATGTAAACAGTTTAAATTGATTGTCTTTTTCAGAGTTAGCTTTGGGCCTAGAAGTTAGGTTTTTGCTGTTTATATCTTTGGCATGTCATAGTAGAAAGGGTCTTAGCTTTGGAGCCAGAAGACCTGGTTCAAACGTTTTGTGACTGCAGATAAGTCATTCCTTCTTTCTGGAAGTAAGTTTCCTTATCTGTCAAATGAAAACCTCTAAGGATGCTTTTGATTCTAAGTTCTATGACTTCATGGTTGCACACAAGCATGAGCAGTGGGCTTTGCAACCAAAGGAGTAGCATATTTCGAGTGCCTGTAGCTTCATGGATCCAAAGATGGCTAGGTGGTGCAGTGGATAGTGTACCGGCCCTGCAGTCAGGAGGACCTGAGTTCAAATCTGGCCTCAGACACATGATATTTGCTAGCTGTGTGACCTGGGGCAAGTCACTTAACCCCAACTGCTTCACCAAAAAAAAAAAAATGTGGAAGACACTGCATTTCTGAAGGGTTCCAGCAGCATTTGATGATCTGTGCCTAAGGTAAAGCGTGCTAGACTAGTTAGTCAACACGGGAGTTTGACCCATTTAAAAGAAGGTTCACCTAATACTTAGGGGATTAGTATGATAAACACTGACCTAGAAGGTGAGAAAGAGGCCTGAGATCCTGTTTCATTTTTGCCACTAATTAGCTGTGTGATATTTAGCAAGTCACCTAACCTCTCTGGGTCTCAATTGTCTTATCAGTGAAAAAAAAAATGAGGGACTGTAAATAGGAGTTCTTTAAGATCTCTCCCAGCTGTTCTTCTCATAGAACATCTCCCATCTCTGGGCACTTCTGCTAGCTGTCCCCTATGACTGGAACTCTTCCCTCACCACTCCCTCCTGGTTTCAGCTTAAGGGGTGTGGAACCTGTGGCCTTGAAGCCACATGTGGCCCTCTAAGTCCTCAAGTGTGGCCCTTTGACCAAACCCAGTGAAGTTTCAGTAAGAGGGCTGTATCTGAGGACCTAAAGGGCCACCAGTTCCTCACCCCTGGCTTAAGTCCTGCCTTTTGCGAGAAGCCATCTCCAGTCCTGTTAGAGCCTTCCCCAGGACTACCTCCAGTCTCCCCTGTACATATCATTTGTACGTGGTTCTTTGTATGTTGTCTCTCTCATCAGACCCGGAGCTCCTTGAGAACAAAGACTTGGTCTTTTGCCTTCTTTTGTACCCTGAGCACTTGTTACCGCCCCTGGTACATAGTAGGCACCTAATAAATGCTCGTTGAATGGATTCAAGTTGACTCTAAAATTCTCTAATTCTCTGCAGCTTTGAAAGGGTGTTAACATTCATTTTTCACATTCATTAGAAACCATACTTTGCTTTTGGTAGCATAATATTCCATCTCCTGGTACATGAGGGGTACCAGGCTGTCCCCCGTGCTTGGAATGTTCTGCCACCTCACATCTACCTCTTAGAATCCTTCATTTTCTTCAAGCTGAAGTTTGTGCCATCTTGTCCACAAAGCCTTTCTGGATTCCCTCTTTTGGCAGGATCTTCTTTTGTGTATATATATATATACATACATATATATGTATATACACATGGATATACACACATGTTGTTGTTCAGTAGTTTCAGTTATGTCTGATTCTTTTTTTTTCTTTTTCTTTTGCTAGGCAATGGGGTAAAGTGACTTGCCTAGGGTCACACAGCTAATAAGTGTCAAATGTCTGAGACTGGATTTGAACTCAGGTCCTCCTGACTCTAGGGCCGGTGCTCTATCCACTGCACCACCTAGCTGCCCTCTATACCCTATCCTTTGTGACCCCATTTGGGTCTTTTTTGGCAGCGAAATGGGAATGGTTAGGCATTTCATTCTCCAGCTCATTTTGTAGAAGAGGGAACTAAGGCAAACAGGGTTAAGTGACTTGCCCAGGGTCACACAACTAGTAAGTGTCTGAGGTCAGATTTTATTCAGGAAGATGAGTCTTCCTGACTCCAGGCCCTGTACTCTATCCACTGTGCCACCCAGCTTCTATACATATACATGCAAATATATGTCCATATACATATACACACGTGCATATGTGTAACATATACACATATGCACATATGTATATGTACATATACACACTTTCTCACACACACTGTACTATCTACACAGATAGCTATAGATAAATTTATATATAATATATAACATATAACACATATTTAAATTTGTATTTGTATATATTTATCTCTATATCTATTCAGAGAGTACAGTCTAAGTGGATATGTATATAGATCTTTCTATCTATCTATATCCTTATCTGTGCAGATAGTACTGTCAGGCTCCCTTTCTCTGATTCTGGTTTGCTCTCCATTGCCTTCTTTACTTTCTCTAAGCAGATGAGAGCTATATAACTAATGAATCCTCCCACTACTTAGCAGGGAGGAACTACCTCCTTGCCTCGCGCATCAGCGACAGCTAACATTCTGAGCAGTTAATCTTCAGCAAATAGGGAATCCCTTAAAATTTAGGGTACTGTACTAATGTGGACATTGCATGTTCTGACAGAGCCTTAGAATTCTGTGTTAACATATACAATCTCTTGTTCTTTCATCAGAAGCTGGGCATTGGCAGGGGGCTCCCACCACCTGGATTCTGTGCCCTGATGGCTGGACTGTTAGGAGGCCCTTCATGTTCATAGGTCCCAAGCCTTGCAGGGGCTGCTCACATATGCTGTCCCTATTCCTATGACAGCACCGCATGATGTCTCTACCTTTCTTTCCAGGCTCAGGGTACGGACCCTAGATCTTAGCTTAACCCTTCTCCTCACCTGAGAGTCTGAGATTTCAGAGGGCTTCTCCGTCAGGCTGCTGCTTTCTGCTGGGATCAGGTCGTTATACTTGGTGACATCCTCATCTGAGTAGTGGAGACTACCTGGGCTGGGCCTTGGAGGAGACCTGGAGAGAGATGGGAAGGCAGGATAATGGGAGGGGAAAAGAAGGAGGCTATGAAGTCCCATTCACTATAGGGAGAAGTAAGCAGAGGGCTTCTTAACATTTCCATTTTAGTCTGCTCTGGCTAAGAGGTCATTTAAATCTCTTGCATCTCCTTGAGTGAGATGGGGGTCTGGCTTCCAGGTTGTCAGGATACACACAGAACAGAGGAGCCTCTGGTTTTTAGCATGAGGAGGAATAAGGGGGGTATGTTTGAGAGATACCAGAGATAAGGATGGTGCTCATTTGAGTAATTTAGAAGTGAGTTTGCAATCATTGCAGAAGATGGCTGCCTGCCTCCCCATTTCCCTTCCCCTTTCCCCAACATGAACATCACTGCTGTGACCAGGACCTTTGGGGAAACCTGTGCTTTCTGTACTCTCTCAAGCTGGATCTCCAGCCCACTGGGCCTGATGTTCTGTGTATTTGCCTGGCCTGATGGGTAGGGGTCAACCCTTCCTGATCCTCACACCCAGAAAATCAGTTTTTCTAAGAAGGTGGCTTTGACTTGGAGCTGTCTCTGCAGCAGAGTGACTGACTGGTACTGCTTCTAAGGAATGACCTGGTATCAAAGATGTCCCCACCTCCTCTCCACCTCAGCTCCTTCCACACAATCTAAGAAGGTCCCATTCGTCTCAAAGGAGGTAACTGAAAACGAGCCGGTGACCTGCTGCTGATGTTCTGAGTGTAAGTAAGTCATACAGACTGCCAGGGTGGAAGATCACAGTGTCAACAGTTTCTTATACAGGCAGCTATGATCAAGAGCTGGAAGCAGCTTTGGGTAGCTTGGGGCATGTGTGTGTGGCTGGAGAGGCATTCTGTGTGTACACAGTGGGTGAAGAGAGGGCCCCAGGTCTGTGTATTCTGTGGGTGGGGCGGGGAGGGAAAGGAGGAATAGTGAGGTTCCCTGTGAAATGTCCCCTTGTTCAGCTGTGGCTGGGCAAGGGAACCAGCCCAGTGGGGCCAATCTGGCCATCCTGAGTCCTGCTGGGGTCCTGATGCTCTGGCCTCAAACAGCTCTTTCTTTGGGAAGGCCTGGGGTTTGGCTGGGGATGAGAGCTCGGCCTCTCTGGCCTCTAACAGCCCTCTTCTCTTCTCTTCTCTCCTCTTCTCTTCTCTCCCTCCCTCCCTCCCTCCCCCTGCTGAACACACACATCGCTTCTTCCACTCCAGCCCTGGGAACAGAGAGTGCTTTGTTAGCCTTGCCTGGGAGAGTCCTGAACTCCCTTCTTCTCTGAACTGCCTTCCCCTGATGAGCCTGAGACATGCATGCTAAATAGATGCTGGGAGGAGCCATCGAACCCCTCATGCTGGCCCTTTTCCTTCCCTGTTTTCCCTAAATCCTAGAAAAATAAAATGTCCAGGTCAGTTAAGGTAACAGTATTGCACCCCAATAGACTCCTCTGTATTTTAGCTTTGCATCAGTCCTGCGGCCTTCAGCAGAGCAGAAGTATCAACCATGAGAAGGGACAGAGTTTGAAATGAGGCTTCTAATTCTCAGAGGCCAGGTTACAGCCCAGTAATCACAGGATTGATCCAGTATGGAGAATGTTGTGGCGGAGGGATTGGCAAATACTTTTACATTATGTATGTATACATGAGGAGCTGGGGCAGGATGTCTGGGACTATGTAAAGAAATAGGGGTGGGATGAGGAGAGGAGACCAATCCCAAGAGAATCCCAGACCCCCACCCAATGAAATTTCCCTTACTTCCCTAGAGATCCAGAGGTCCCTAGATCCTGGGGTATGGGTCCCTTAGAAAAGAAGGATGGCATCACACAGAACGTTTGGTGTCCAGCTATGGCTGCCCTGCCCTGCCCTGCCCTCCCTTTCTAGGTACTTCTTTTCAAGTGGTGGTCATGGTGGGACAGAAGCTGCTAAGTCAAGCTACCAACAAGCCAGACTTAGGGTCTGGATGTTTCTTTATGCTTTTCCCCCACAACATGCTAGTTTCCTCTTGGAGAAGAGGATAGAAAGTGACATCATATTGGGGGAAAATCTTCAGTCATTCTCACTCAGGATCACTAAGCCTGACCTGGGAGTGACTCCCCTTGTTCTTATTTTGGCAGAGGTGGTCATCAGGCCTGTGCCCTTTTTACTAAAAATGTCTAAGCATCTGACTAATGGAAGCAATCAGTTTGCATCTGTACCATATCTTTATGCAAAATGGCATGAGAAGAGACGGGGAAGCTAGCTGGCTCAATGGATGGAACGTTGCACTTGGGATCAGGAAGACCTGAGTTTCAATTCTGCCTCAGACACCTACTGGCTGTGTCTAACTGCCTTAGATACATTAGTTTCTTCATCTGTATAATGGTGATAATAACAGAAGCTACTTCATAGGGTTGTTGTGAGGCCCAAATGAGATAATAAATGTAAAGTGCTTTATAATCCTTAAGGCACTATAGAAATATTAGATGTATTTAAAAAAAGCCAAAAAAATCATGATAACTATATAACTATATATATAAATATACATATTATGAAAAGGTAGGCCTGTGATTTTATTAGTATAGGGATCTCCAGATGAAAATATTTCTACCAATGGGGACTGTCACCAGCTCTGCACCTGATAATTTTGGAGAGTTGCCTGTGGTACTGAGAGGTAAGTGACTTGTCCAGGGTCACACATCCAGGATGTGTCAGTCAGGACTTGAATTCTGAGGCCAACATTCTATCTACTATGCCACACTTCCTCTCATGTATACATGTGACATATTAGTATAAAACTATGATATATATGGATAAAATATACACAAATGTATGTATGTATATGTGTGTATGTATATGTAAATGTATGTATGTGTATATATGTATAAAAAGGAAAGGGGATGTGGGTTCTGATTTTATATACATACATATATACATACACACATATATGTGTATATTTATCTATATCTATCTCTCTCTCTATGTACATATATAAAATCGGGACCCACATCCCCTTTCCTTTTTCCCTCATACCCACCCACATCAGGTGGAACCACGTCGGCTTGAACAAATCCCACACGTAAGGCGTTGCCTTGGCAGCCCTCTCCCTGCCATCCTGAACCCTGATTCACTGACCACTACCAGTCTTTTAAGCGGATTTAAATTTTTCAGGATTGGCCTCAATCCTTTAACTATTTTCAGGTTCTTGGCCCTTCTTCTCCAGCTTTGGGAATTCCAGGGGTGCTGATCTCTGGCTTACAAGTTTTCCAGCCTCCCGCCCACCCTATACCACCCTATTCTCTACCTGGTATAGATACCATTCTTCCGACAGAAGGAGTTCTTGACCGAGAGACGGCGATTGTTGAGTTCCAGGGCTGGGAAGCTGCTTTCATCCAAGCTCACCATCTCTCCATGGCCCAAGGCACTGGATTTGGCATTGTTCCCTGGGGAAAGGGGAAGAGGGGAAATTATCCCCAAACTACTTGGGGCCTTGTACTTTGGGGTGGGAGAAGGGGCAGCAGAGAGAGAAGCCCTACCTCTCCTTGGGTTTTTCCTGTTGGGATCAGATTAAAAGCACTGGGAGGAATGGATAGGAAAATACTAGAGAGGGCAAGAAGGAAAGAGAAGGGACAATTTTCATCTGACATCTATTGAGTGAGTGCGAGTTTCCATGTGGGGACGAGGGATTACTGATGGCTGGTAACACCCACTACAATTCTCTAGATTGTTCGTGTGGTCTTCGTTATGGTCTTCCTCTCCCCACTATGAGGAGGGCAGGGGTCTCAAAAAGACCACTACTCCAAAACGAATGGTTGGACTTGGCCTTGTCATCCCTCTCCCCTGCTACCATAGCACCTTGAGTTGAAATAAATTTCTCCTTTAGCCAAATTAAATTTTTGGAGCCTCGGTACCTTGGCAAAGAAAAGCAGTGGTTTCCAGGTCCCTGGCTCCTGAGCAGAACTGCAGCTAGCATGGAACCAGCAGGGCTTTGTGCCAGTGTGCCCAGATAGTGGGGCACACTTCTTCCCTCTGGTGACTGCTGTCTCTATACCCTTGCGGTTCTCTAGCTCTCTCTAGATTCTCCTAATTCCTCTTCCCTCCACTCCTATCATGGGTTTCACCTTCATCCTACAACCACTATGGGTGCAAAGATCCTCCTCAGATCCTCCCCCTCCCCCTTCCTGCTATGACTGTCCCTGTTGTCAAACTGTACACACCATCTCTACATTCCTTATCCCCTCCATTGGTTCCCTACTGGTTTTGGATTTGGTAATAACATTCCTAGTTATAGTTCTGGACATGAGTAATGGTCTCAAGTCCATTAGTAGAATGGGGTGCTCAACTTACCAGAATCCGACTTCTTAGCATACTTCTTGCTCTGACCACGGATAATAAGGACAAAGACCAGCAAGAGAATAAATATGAGGCCGACCAGGGCGATGACCACCAGGAACCACCACTCTTCATAGAATGGATTAGCTTTCTGGGCTAGAACATGGGTTGGCAGTCAGTGAATGCTGACTTCCTTTTCTGGCTTAAGATTCCTGCTAATCAGGGGATGTGTTCTATAACTGGGATCCTGCTAGCTGTGTCCTGAGTATGGGCAGGGTTGGTAACTCTGCACCCCCTGAATACGGGAATGGCCAGAGGTAGATTCAGTCCTGGGTGGGAAGGGAGGTATTAGAGGGAAGGGTCTAATCTGTTCTGCAGCTAGGCTGGGAGCATACCTCCTTATATCAGTTCTATCCCTCACTCTGAATCTCTTCCTAGTGATAAAGAAGAAGGGAATGAATCTGGTTGGGGGCATAGAATGGGCTGTCTCCAGGGAGGACTGAATATCACTTTTGTTTTGGGGCTGCCACCTCTCAGATGCACTCTCTATCTGGAGGGAAGGTATGATAAGGGTATGATATAGCGTATGACAAGTGTAAGGACCCCCTCTTTTGAATTATTTTCAAGAGTCCAGTATGATGATCTGTACATTGTAGGTGCTCAGTTGGTATAGCTGATTGACTGCAAGTTTAGGTATTTTTATTGAAGCTTAGAGGAAGGTCATTATTTTCCCATGAGGGTATGTGGGAGGAGGAAAGGGGCAGGAGGAATTCTTGGAATTTATCCAGAGCCCAGAAAACTTTAGTTATACCCCTGCCTCATAGGGGAGGGAAGTTGGGAAGAGACAGCTCAGAGTTACTGTTGTGAGTGATTTTAAATAATGACGAGGATTTGGGGCAGAGGGGTAGGTAATCCAATCCCATCTTAAACTCAGGACTATCTCAGAGGACAAAGAAGATTGGAGACGTGATGATGAAAATCCTTAGTTCATCCTGGTAATTGCCCAATATATTTGGGTGTTGCTTCTCCATAGGCTACTGACCCTGCCTGGGTATTTTTGGTTACCAAGGAAACATACAACTTGTTGGCATGGTGCCCTAGATCTCTCTAGGGATCTCAGTTTCCAGTTCCATTGACACTCCCATCTCAAATTGACTGACTGATTTATTCCCCCCTCCCCCCTTCCCACCGCTGAATTCCTTTAACCAAAAAGAGGCGGCTGAGTCTAGAGAAGATAAGCCCTCCAGTTTCCTAAAAAGTTCAAAGCTGAATCAATGCCTAGGGCTTACTGTTCTGAAGAATATAGGAAAATGACTTGGTTTGAATCCTAACCACCCCAACCCTCTATCTCCAAGACCCCTACTGCCCTGGTTGTGCCTTCCCTTCTTTCCCTTATCTACATGTTTGGATCCTCCATGGGGTTCTCTCCTCTAGTCAACTTTCCCACCCCTCCACCTTTCCAGTCCCCAAAGGCCAGTACCTGGGACAGATTGGGATGGGCTGCTAGGTGTGCCATAACCATAGTCGTTGACAGCAATGACTCGAAAGTCATAACTGACACCATGCTTTAGGATGTCCATACTGAATGTGTATGAGGTCACCTCCTTAGGAATGTCTTTGATGAGGATGTCCCATAGCCCTTCATCTGCAAGACCAGAGAAGAGGAGGTTAACCTTAAGGGGGTAGGGGGAAGGGGAAGGAGGCAAGGAACCTCATCTTGCATCTCTGCCTCCAGAATTCTTGTCTCTTCTAAATATAAGCCCATGGTGCCAACTCCCTTCCCTACCCCATCACATTATAGCCAACTTTATCAGCAGTCCTTTGTTCACCAAATAAAAGAGGGAAAAGAAGCTTAAATTGTAGAAGGAAGGATTTATGTTACAACTTCTCACCTACAAGATCCTTAAGAATGTGAGAAACCTTTAATGTCAGTCAATAAGCATTTATTAAGTACCCCACTCTGTACCAGGCAATGTGTTAAGAACAGTGATGTGATTAGGTTAAACCTCTTCTTTTTAATTAAGAATGTGGAGGACTCCGAGAGTAGTATAATCTTATAGCTTAAATATCAGGTAATACTTCTATTTTTTTTTTCTTTTTCTTCCACTGTTTGGTCAGCTATTTTCCTTCTCCTTGGGGAACCACTTTTCTATAGTTGTTTGAGCTTGCTCTATGGATATCTTCATTTTGTTGGAGATTGTGTGGTTCTTTCTCTAATGGGATGTAATTTATCATGGCCTCATAAGAAAGCAATGATCAGAGGCTACATAAATTCAAGAGAAATGGGTAAATACCTACCATTGCTCTTTGACTCATTCATCTTGGAGACAGGAAAACAGGGGTGGGAGATGAAAGGGGTATCTTTCGTCTCAAGGGAGAATTCTCTGATCATCTGACCAGCAGGAATCTTACAAAACAGGAAGTTGCATAACTATTTGAGTTGGAGAAGGGCTTGTGTATGGGTACCCCAGTCCTAAGCAGCCCTGGATCTTACAGGAGTTAACAAAAATCAATTCCCAATGGAAGGCATTGTGGTATAATAGAAAGGACATCGGGTTTGAAGTCAGAGGATCTGGGTTTGAAATTTGGTTCTGCACTTGCTACCTATAAAATTGGGCAATGGATTTCTGGTTAAGATTACTACGTGGAATATCATAGAGAAGTCCTGTTATCCTGTGGGACCCCACCAAATATCTGAAAGGGATCCCCAAAAGACTAATAATAAAGAAACTTGACAATAATTATAAATAAGCTCCTCCATCCAGTCTTGAATGGAACACAAAGATAGCCAGAAGTTGGCAGAGGGAGGTAAAGGGGTCACACCAGGGAAGCCAGCACAAGATCAGGTAAATGTAGATGCAGGTGGGCATGGGGAGAGGAATGCACCACAGAAGCCAGTACAAACTCAGATAAACCATTGAGAAGCTGACAGAACTGGGAAAGGGCTGTCACTGTGCCAGGGAAGCCAGTGTGAGTTCCCACAAATAGACCTGAAGCCACTGAAGTCAGAGAGCTAGGGGAGAGACAAGCCATAATGGGCTCCAGTAAATGGGGACTTGATGCCAGATCCTGACCCTGATCAATTAGGGCATGTTAGAAGAGAAGCAGGAACAAAACCAGCAACCAAAGATCACTGCTCAGGAAGACTCCTTGGAGCCTTCAGGAGCCACAGCAGGAGATGAGGACAAGGTAGCACCGGGGTGCTTGTGCCAGGGGACAATGCAGGAGTCCTGAGACCAGGGTGATTTTGGGTATCCCCCTAGAGCCTGTCAGGCTCACAGTAAGAGATGTAACCTACTCCAGTTTGGAGATTATGCAAGGAGAAGCCAGATTCTGGCCAAGGTCAGAACCTGTAGTGGACCTCCCAAGAAGATTAAGGCTGAGAAGCTAGGTATTGAGGAAGAGGATAAGAATGAAAACAGGCTACCCCAGGGCAGCAGTATTCAAATGGGATCCCCTATAGTGGCCACGGGATTAAACAATGACCAAGAGGAACACAGGGGACCTGACTCAGAACAAAATCACAAAGCAACAACTGAGGCTGAAAACATGTGCAAACAGAAGAAAACAGAGAATACAATGAAGAAATAATATAAGGTAAGAGAAACCCAAGAGATTAAACTCAAAAGAAAAGAGAAACCCTGTGATAATGATAGAGACCCAGAGGGGAAAAAAATGGCTTGGCCACAAGAACTACAAAAGTGACTGGAAGAAGTGAGGCAAGAAATTAAAAAAAAATGAAATGAGAGTTTGGGAGGAAGAACAGAAAGGAGAATAAATAGCTTAGAAAAGGAGATGAAAGAAAATGGAAAACCTCATCCAAGTAGTGGACTCTGAAAAATACAACAGAACAATCAGAACTCAACAATTCCATAAGACGAAGAAAAAAAATTAGAACAGTTAAAGTTTGAAAAAAAAATAGAAGAAAATGTGAAGTTTATATCATCAAAAAGAATTGACCAGGAAAAAATTGAAGAGATACAATTAAAGAATCAATGGACTTTTTGAAAACTGGGGCCAAATGAAAAGCCTAGATATCATATTTCAAGAAAATATAAAAATCAATCTAGAAAGACTCTGCTAGGCAACTCCTGAAAGAAACCCCAACTGAATATATCTAGGAATGTTATCACTGGAAAGCAGGGAAACCATATTATACTTAAAGGCTTCAGAAAAATGAAGTAATATCACTACTTAACACTCATGTGCTGAATGGAATAGCATCTGCTTCTCGTTACTTGTCCTTCACTCTTGAAGAGGACCATAACTTCAGGAAGGTGAAGCCATGACTTGCAAGTGAATTGGATTTAAGTGAGAGAGGGCTGTGCAAGGTCACCAGGCTCACTTTCTCTTCCAGAGCCATCTGGGTCCAATGGCCAGATATAGATCAGCATGACTGGAGATGGCTCCTAGCATCTTAGTACTTGAAGGAAAAGCTAATCAAATTATAGGGAGAAATAGACAACAGAACTGTAATAGTTGGGGACCTCATATGATATATATGTAATATAATAGTGGGTGACCCTTCCAAATCTAGAAAACTCTGAAAAAACTATGAATAAGCAAGAAGTTAAGGATTTGAATAGACTTGTAGAAAAGACAGATATGATAGAACTCTGGTGATTACTGAATGGGAATAGAAAGTCATGTGCATATTCCTCAGCTGTGTATGATGCCTTTACAAATATTAGACATGTGCTAGGCATAAAAATTTCATAAACAAATGGAGAAAAATTAAACACTTTTTTTTTTTTACTGGTCACAATGCATTAAAAAGGGTATCTGAAGAAAGGATTCAAAGTTAAATGGAAACTAATTTATTCTTAAAGAACTAGTGGATCAAAGACTCAATCAATGGAATAATAATCATTTCTGGAAAGAAAACAATGAGACAATGTACACTTTTGAGATGAAGCCAAAATTCTTTAAAAGAATTTGGGATGAAGCCAAATTCTTTAAAAGAGAATTTACATCTCTAAGCACTTTCATTGACAAAAGAGAAAAATAACAAATCAATCCTTGCAACTAAAAAAAACTAGAAAAGCAACAAATCCCAAACCCCTTAAAACACAAAAATACAAATTATAAAAATCAAAGAAGACATAAACAAAACTCAGATTAAAAATCACTAAAATAGCTAAAATTAGAAGCTGTTTTTTAAACACAGATCAAAATAACAAAAATAAAAAAACTAATAAAATAAAATTGTTATCTAATGTAATAAAATAAGAGAGAAAAACCTAATTGCTGGTATCAAAAATGAAAAAGAAGAATTCACAATAAATGAGGAAGTAAGGGAATTTATTAGAAGCTATTTTGTCTAGTTATATGACAAAAAATCTTAGATAAAATGGATGGATACTTATAAAAAATGCCCAGACAGAATAATCATCAGAAAATTTAAATAATGTAATCTCAGAAAAAGGAATTGAATTAGTCATAAAAGAACTTCCAAAGAAAAAAAGTCAGAAACAGATGAATTTACAAGTGAATCCTGTAAAACATTAAAAGAACAATTAATTTCAATATTGAAAAATTTGCAATTTTTTCAACATGTGAATTTGGGGGTTTTGTTTTTTCTTTTTTTGGGAGGGTGTGAGGAGATATACACAGGGAATAGAGGGCAGTGATCATGATGCTAAAGAAATGAAGAAAAAAAATTGAAAGTTGAGTCAATGAATCATTAAAAAATAAATAGAAGATAGAAGCACTAAAGATATTTTTTAACATGATTAAAAAGTATCTTTCTAAAGCGAAAAGTTAGTTTTACATTTTGTTATTTTGTCGTGTCTGACTCTTTGTGATCCCATGGACCATATCACACCAATACTATCCATGAGATTTTCTTGGCAAAGATACTTGAGTAGTTTGTCATTTCCTTCTCCAGTGGATTAAGGCAAACAGACAGTAAGTGACTTGCCTAGGCTCACATGGCTAGTAAGTGACTGAGGCCAGATTTGAACTTAGGTATTCTTGACTCCAGGCCCCGTGCTCTATCCACTGAACCGATTAGCTGCCTTTGTATTACATACAAAGGTGAAATACTAGAAACTCTCTCAACAAACACAGAAGTAAAGCAAAGATTCTCCTTTATCCCACTGTTATTTGACATAGTTCTAGAAACACCAGCAATAGCAATAAGATAAGAGAAGGAAAGGAAAGGTATAAAGATAGGTAAGAAGAAACAAACTCTTCCTTTATGCAGATGATATGATAATTTAAAAATCCTGGAGGATCAGCAAAGAAACTGAGACAATTAAGAGCCTTAGTAAAGTATCAGGATACAAAATAAATGCACAAATCTAACAACATTTCTATTTAGCAAAATTCAAGAAGGAAAAATAGAAAGGAAAACCTCACTTAAAATTACTACAAAATACATAAAATATCTGGAAGTTGATTTTTGAAGGGATAGTCAAATAGAATCAACTAAAAATAATTCTTACAGAAATAAAGAATGAATTTAAATCTAGCTTAAATTTGAATTTAAAATAAGTCCAAATAACTGGAGGGATATTTGCTGATCATTTAAGGGACATGCTAATATAAACAAAGATAATACTACTAAAATTAGTTTAAAGATTTAGTTGTCCATCAATCAAATTACCCAAGAGATATTTTACAGAGCTAAGCAAAATAATAACA